TATATATATATATATATATACTTTTTAAAAATATTTATACATTTTATGTGAACAGAATTTTTATTGTGCATCATTTCCTGTCAAGCTATAAATTTGTGAAATTATGCAAAATTTTGAAAATATTAATTTATAATGTGTAATACTAGCTATGAAATTATCCTTAGCCAGGCATGGTAGTCGGCCGTGATCAGAATGCTATTAAAGGGATCGTTTAACCAAAAGTGAAAAAAAAAATATCATTATTTATTCACCTTCATGTCGTTCATCCCTTCATGGAAGAAGATATTTTGAATGCTGAATGTTGGTAACCAAAACCAATGGCATCCATTGAATGGACAGTTTGTCAAAATATCTTCAAAGAAGTCTATAGAAGTTTGGAACAACATGAGGGTGAGTAAATGACAAGTGAATCTATTTTAAACAGAATGCATGATGTAGTGAAAACATTCATGATGTTTAGAAAAATGGCAGAAATGACAGAATTCTTCTATGATGCATATATACAATATTCTCTGTTGAACATTAAGTGTGTTATAAGAGAGTGCATTCTCTAGGTCCGCATGGCCAAAAGGGTCCATAATTAATGAACAGACAACTACCGTGAGACATGTGTATTCTCATAATGTACTCAAATGCATGTATAATAATCTGAAAATGCTCTGTAGAGAAGTCTTAATGCTCTGCATGAAGGTCTGCATATGCACAGGAGTCAAACTGATAAAAATTATAGCTGACACTAATAACTGTGTGATTAATGTGGACTACAGAAGAGGAGACATATGTGGGTGGTTCCTTTGCTTATGTGCATATCCTCTGTTCAGCATCAGTGCCCCGTGTGTCCATGGATCAGAGACTTTGAAAGCAGATCATTGTTGCTGAGACTCATCAATCATGGCGGTTTCTGCCTCTGAATGAGCAACCACCCGAAAGATCACATTCAGAATATTCGTCTGGGTGCCGACAGTAAACATGGCAGATTTCATACACAAGTCAGCTTACTTAAAGGCTCATCTGATTTTAATTTTAATTACATGCTGTCAGAGGTACACGACACACCTAATAAGAGATCTAATTAAGAAAATGAGTAAGGTGTCAGGGCCCTTTCAGAGTCGGTTCGACAGGAAGATTAATCGCTCGCTGGGCTAATTTGATTTGTGACAATGAACAGGATGACCTGGTGAGTTGTTTTAAAAAGATTCCATACCCAAGAGCATATGACATTAATAAAACATGAATGGATTGGTCTAGAGGAGGGGAAGACCCCCGTTTTCACTTCAAAAGCTCAATGGATCACCTTTTTTAGCCATTTAAGAAGGGAACAATTCACTGAACAGCTAAGGAGCACTGGGAAGCCTGTCTGTGAGGATTCTTATTACTGTAAATAGGCTAACTCAAGGAATTACTACTAGTCTAAATCTTGTCCTAGCTTTGTTTGGATCCTGTAGGTGGTAGTTTCTTCAATTATAATTCTTCATTTATGTCCCATAGGTTGATTTTATTAAAACAGATTTCAACTTTTTCTTTTAATCATATGGAGGTCTTCATTGTACTTTTTAAATGCCTTTTATATACATGGATTTTATTTTTGCTTTCTTTTATTATCTTAAAATATGAAAATCCTACATAAATAATATTATTGTAAGGAATATTTGACGACAGGCCGTTGAATTATTAGAAAATAATGCACACCTGAGGTGGTGATGCAGCCACAACTTGAAGCAGAGTAATAATTCAATGGACTGGAGTCAATTATTCCGCTTGTACTATGGTTACCACACTTCAAGACATCATTCAGATGATGTATTTCAAGACATTCTTCAGGTTTTGTCCTTAAAACGCTCTTGAGTGTAGGATTAATTTCTTGCGCATCTTACGTTCTTTCCTTACATAATAAAACGTAATTTTGTGGCAAAATGATGGAAATAATTTGTCGTTTTTATCATATTGTTTACTATATATATATATATATATATATATGCTAAATATATACTAAAATATATACTATATACTCATATATACTAATATATATACAGTATGTATATATATATATACACACACACACACACACTTTTTATTCTCACATATAAAA